GCCATTTACCTCGTGGCCTACTAAAACAAGGATTCCGCTAACTTGGCGATTGTGTTTTACATTGGAATGAAACTTATAAAAGAATAGAGACGATCGTGGGTTCATCACATTAATTGCGAGCAGTTTTGGAGGCCACATTTCAAATCCTTTACCAGAAACGGCGAGAATTTTTTGAAGTACTGATGAATTTCCGTACCGTCGCAACTCATCGTTCAGAGAATTGCACTAGAAATTATATGATCATATTAAACGGAAAGATACGAATGTGAGGTGTCTCACCCAGTGGTGGATCCAGGGGGGGGGGGCATGCCCCTCCCCCGAAGGCCTAGAATTTTCATGTGTATCATTCTTTTAATTGGCAAAATTAATTTACATATTTAGTTATATTAGAATTATGCCATTATTTAGAAAATAATATTGTATGGGATCATACATAGACTACAAAAATAATATACAATATCACAACAAATGTTCACTATTTATCAAAAATCTATGACAGCCCCCTCCAAATTGATCAGTTGGATCTGCCCTGGTCTCACCATTCCCATTTTCAATTTTGACACTAACTTCAAATCTGTTAAAAGAAACACATATTTTAAAATATTCTTTCTACAAAATAACACAAGCTATGAGGTAGTAAACAGTTATTTTCAACTTGTGCCAACTGGGAAAATGTAGGAAATACAATGGTAATAGACAATACTTTAAATAAAAAAAATTGAAAATACTTTTCAAATACTGCTTTTAAGCAGAAAATAATTTTGAACACCAAATAATGTTTTGTTTAAAACATTCCACATAAAAGTGCATGAAGTATTAAACTGTAAAAAGCACTGTTGTGTAAAGGCAATTCAACTGCATGAGGTTAATGAACTAAAATTCAATGAAACAAATTTTATGATAGAATGTATTAATTTATTTTATTTGGTGGCACTTTTACAGTCTTATCACGCAAGATATTTCACACCTTGGCAGAACTCTAATAATGCACAAGAACGTTCATCACAAGGAAATCAGTATAAATATATCATTAGTATTAAGTCTGGACATTAAACTGTAAAAAGTGAGTTTCGGTTTGGATTACTGGTTAAGTGAGTGATTAGAATAAAAGTGTGGAAAAGAAAAATGTCTTTGCCATTTGATTTATATTTAAGAAATTTCTAAAGAGCATCTTTCATAACTTCATACACAGACTTGTGAAATTTCAGCAAATAATATGCAAGAATACAGACCAGTCCAATCAGAGACTTTTTCCATTATCTCTTCCTCAGAAGTGTTCATTATTGCTGCTGTTCTGTTTAGAAAGATACCTGATAAAATTTTGCTGATAACTACACATGATGTTATAAAGGACTGTCACTTGATTTTGTATTTACTAGGCTGTCCGTGTGACGCCGTGGCCATGGTGAAGGCACCTTCGCCATGGACACGCCGTCACCCGGACAGCCTAGTAAATACTGACTCCGGCCGCGGAAGCCTACGCTCTCACTTGTTTTTGCTTTTAATTGCTGAATCACAACAGCTGAATCTTTCGTTCTGCCAGGAATCAGTCTTGAGTGAATGCACATTTTTTGACATGCCCAGACATTCCTCTGCATTTTCCCATACTTTGCAATTACTCTGTTTTCCAGAAATAGGACACACCGCAAATAAGAATAAAGAAAGCATCAGAACCAAACCTCATTACATCTTATCCTATGAAAGACTCCATTCAAGATAGGAAGAAAATATTAATGACACTATTAAAATGAATAAACAGATATTTATAATTATGTAGGCAGACTTGGAATGACTTTGTTAAATAACCAAAACCCCACAAAAGGTAAATCAATATCATCCTCTTTATGAGGTATGTACAGTAGCTGGTCAAATTCACTGATCTTACTGATAACAGGTAAAACAATCTCCAGTACTCAAAACCTGCATTTTCAAATTATAAATTCTCCCATTAAGCATTTTTAAAGGCTGAAAAATTCTAATCCTGAGCTAATTCTTTCCTGATAATATAGAATGATGAAAACATTTTAATGTAAATCGATCAATACAAAGTCAAGTTCTTTTCAGAAGTCCCATTTTATATCACTCTTAGCATTCCTTGACAACATGAATTCCAACTGAAATATGTGTTTGCTAGAGAAAACATATTCTACAACAAAAATGAGTTTATAGCAAATTAATGCCTTCTTATTTCTCTTCAGTACTTTCCATGATTTCTGAATCCTTTCATAATGTAGTACATTTTTCTATTTTCCAAAGAGAACACAAAAGTACTATTTTCACTCTTTCATGTTACATTAACCCCGTTACTAATAGTCTTCTATATCAATTGAAAAAGTCTAATTGTAAACACAGTGCTTTTGTGTGAGGAGAATCGCCTAGAAATTAAATGGGGTTACGCATAAAGGAGCACCATACAAGCGATACTTTGCAGCAGGCACAATAGCTAAATCACATATTACTGTTTTTATATTCTTAATTACAGAAAGTGACTAATGATGTAAGTTGAATTGCATTGATGTAAGTTGAGATGCATTGAATTATGAACAACTAATATTAATCATTAGGTCTTCATTTGCTGAATCAATAAATAGTTCATAGAAAAGGAACATTAATTAACGTCATGTTTAGAAAAGTTTTAGTATTGAAGGGAAAGATATCCACTTGAAGATTTAAGTTTCAGAATGCTGCATGTGCCACACACTAAGTTTGTGAAAAACAAACAAGAGCTAATGAATGCGGTGCTGGAAACGGACCCAAAAGGAATTTATCATGGCATTGATTAGCAAGTACTTTTCTATAAATTATTATTGAATACACAGTCATATAAAACCTTATCTTCAACAAATTAACATCATTTGTATTTATAATTTGTTCACCGTCTCATACCATATGAAGTTGCAATGTTCGTATGATTGTTCAGACTTTCACAACACTATCACCTTTTGGCTGACTTGTGTAGATGGTTTTGACATGAATAAAAGAGCATTTCAATAGTTTTGGGGTGCAGGAGTGTTCTTCATGCTCTCTGACACGGTTCTTAATTTCTGGGTACACAGTTTCTATCCCCAGATCTTGATGGAGGTCCTCAGTTCCAACACATCAACATGCTCTTACAACACATTAAAAAACTTTATTGTGGAATGTTTCTGTAATTTTGATATTAGAATTCTTTGTGAAACCCCAAGGTTGTAAACTAATTGATACTAATACAGCTTTCCATAGCTCATAGACTTTTTTGAAATTTCTTGGGTTGGGCACCACCCACATAAAATTATGAAAGAGAGAAATCATGATTTTGGCACTAATTCCCTTAAGAAACATAACACTTCAATTGTAAACCATATTCAAATTTTTGAGAAATAAATCATAAAACACAAATCACTATTGTTTCTATTTTGCATTTTGAAAAGTATTTTAAAATACTATTTTGTATCGAATGTACTTTCATAGAAGTATTGTGAATGTTGTAACTAAAATAGTTTTCAAACATTTTGCCAAACTGTACCTGTGCCTAATAGTTGCATCTGTGGTCTTACTTTTTTCCTCAATTATAACCTTTTTATCCATAATTATGACAAAGGATTGCAAAAAAGTGCTTTAAAGACTATTTCATACCCCACTATTTTCGAAAATATCTTGATTTAACATCAGCTTTTGAGAACCTTAGTTTCTAATCTTCACTGAAATGCAATGGTTGCAAATTGTTTAGTGTTTATTAAAAACTGGCCTTAATATTTCTCCAGAGTGCATTACGTAAAGTACTTTCTTGGGTGATAAGAGTATTTTCTCAATTCATAGATATAATTTCTTGAGTTTTCTAAACACCCTAATTCCTAGGGATGAAAGACAAGTGGTGAATTTTTAATTTATTATTATTTGTTTGGTTACTTCATATTAGAAAAGAGTTAACCAAGTTCATTACTATTTTTGTAATCAATGGAATCTTCATTTTACTGATAAGATGCCAGTTCACATTCGGCTATTGACCCCCAATTGATCCCTTGATCATCACTGACCCCCCTTCAAAATTTCAGACCACCAGGGGGTCTACACAGACTCAGATGGAAATCCCTAATCTAGACGGTATCTAATGTGGAAGAACTATACACCACAAATAAAAACGAACCAACATTAAAATTTTCTCATATTGCATGATTAATGAATTGCTCGTCCCCAAGTTACACATCTTGGGTAAACAAATTGCCCCTCCATAATGCAACAATCCAACCAGTGTTCTGCCAGTAAATCCATCACGATTCTTGGTAGATTTTAATCAAAATAACTCCTCAAAGAAGCCAAAGCATCTTAGTAGGTATAAAAACAGCGACATATCGAGACATAAAAAAAATCAATCTATGAAGAAATAAAACAATGCAGCAGGATCTACCAGGCACATTGCAACAGTCACTCAAACACCTTAGCTAACAATCAGCTGGGCAACAGTGAAGACCTTCAACAGCTAAAGTAGCACCATTTGTTAGAATTGCCTGTTCAATATTGTTGATTCTATTTCAGATACTTTTGTGTAATGTTTAAATGATGTGCTTATAATCCTCCAAGATACACTTAGAAAATTTTTAATGAACATAGATTGTAATTAATAAAAAATAAAAAAAAAATATTTCAAAAAAGTCAAATGCTCAGCAAATTTGAAATGAACTTGAAGTACAATAACATGGATGGCAAAATATCCCAATTAAAATTGGTACCTAACCTCCAACTATAACTTATTTATTTCCATAAATATCTTCACAAAGAAATACACAGAAGTCCAATATGAAACACCTACAGAAAAAAAGCATTACAAATCACATATATGACAATAAGGATCTTTAGTTCATAGCAAGCAATAACCGAAGGTCATACACTCAATAAAACACCTTCTATAAACTTAGATTTTTGGTGATATTGTATGTACTGTATATTAATTTCCAAGATATTTTATAAAAATCCATATCCATATGCTCAAGATTGAAAATTAGAACTGAAAATGACAATACCTGATATCTGTTCATGGTATAAAGAATAACAGAGAACGGAATGGAGACGCCAACCATGGCATGAGTAGATGGCATTCCATATTCCAAAGCCCATTTTTTTTGTAAACGAACTACAGGTGGACATGCAGGGCGTGGCCATCGAACTATATCTTTTATTCCTTGCCCTAAAATATAAAACAGAATTCAATAGTATCAACACTTATTTTAATGTATGTCTACAGTGTGTTGTCATTGAGAAAAATGAAAATTAACATTACTTACCAATATACATTACAATAGTCCACACGAGTACAACACGCCGACCAACAGCACCATCAATGTTCCAAAACCAAAAAGGAATGAACGAAGCATAAAATATTTCATCACCTAATGCAGTTCCAAGTACAAATACATAATACCACAGCCAATTTGTTACAATGAAATCTTTTGACTCTGTTTCTGATTCAGAAGATACGGTTTCATAATCATCGTGATTCAAGAGGTAACCATTGTGTTTAATGCTTTCATCAGCTCTATTAACTACATATTCACCGTTATCTTCTAGTCTATGTTGAAATGAATGATTTATTTTGCGGTTTTTTATTTCATCTTTCAAGTGGCATGTACCATTTCCACTATCAGAGTCAACATCTGTGTTTTTGCTACATCCTCTACAGTTTGGAGGTTCAGAAGTAACTTTAACACCATAATATTCTTGAACGAGGGCAACTAAATGAGGGTCTTTGAGATATTCAATTACTTCCCACATCATTTGGGTCAGTACAAGAAACTTGAAACAGATGAACTACTCAAAACATTTAAATTTCTAAAAAGCACTCGAGAGAAAGAGGTTCAAAGTTTCTCGGAAGAGGAAAGTCGTAAAAGTACGCCACTTCACTCACTTCAGAATTGTACCATCGAGCTTGCCGTTCAAACGTGGTAACAGGTTTCTGTGCAACTACCTCGTTGAAGACATAATCACAGACCGGCAATTACCGCGACAATACTCTGGCGACACTCGTGGGAACTGGGTCAAGTATAAACTGACATACTGTAATAATATATTACAAAATCGACTCTGACATAAGCGTCTAGCACTACTGCCCTAATATGCACGTTTTAAAAACAGTTGCGGCTAAATCCCCGACGCCGTTCGGTGATTCTAGCCAGGGCCCTATTACTCCCATATAACGTGGTGGAGACCATTACGGTGGCGCGCTCTGCTGCATCACCTTCTTTACAGGAACTGCTGCCAACGATACTTTAAACGTGCGTGACTGCTGCGTGAGTTCGCGGGTCGCAAGCAGGACATAATGTTACAAAAGATAACGTCTACGTTCGCGCTTTCTTTAGAGGTTTCTTACAAGTAGATATTATCAATAATTGAACATTTAGAAGACACTTTTCGTATTTCTCACAAATAAGCCAATTTGTATGTGAGAAAGTTGGCGAGCCCAACCTGCAGCTGCACCCGGCGACATTAGCGCTTCCTATAGTAGCAACCTCGAGCTTTGTCCCCGATTTTGATGGAGAGTTGCCGGGCCCTGATTCTAGCGCCGTTGTGGTGCTTTTGGGAACTATTACGAGCCGATCATCCCGGTTATGTCCGTTCCGCGACGTTCGGTGGTTCAATGAAGAGATTGGCTCTATACCATTTACCCAGAGTAGGGAAACTTGGCGGTCAAAACGTGGTAATGACCAGTAATGACGTTTTCGCCATCTACAACAGTTCCATAGTGAGCCGAACTAAACGTGTGACGTCATGCAATTCAAAATGCTGGAAATGTAGGCTGTATTAGTCCTGTTAGTTTATTGTTACGTGCAGGCTGCAAGCAGGTAGGTGTTCTTTTTTATCGATTTTTTTCAGCATTTTGTTAGTATGTAGAATGTCGTGCATTGTAAGTAGAGTGAATTCTGTTTTCAGTATTTTGGAAGATGATATTAAGAAAACTGGTGCTAGAGAAGTACATTCCTAGGATTTTCGCCGTACCAGCAGTGGAGGTATTTATAATTCATTTTGGAATCTTGTTGCATAATTGTAATTGATTATTTCATTTGAACCATGCAAAATAGTCTTAAAAATCCGTAAATCCACGTAGTATAACCTAACCTGTACATGTCATTCATTCTGTCATATTTGTTTAAAAGTATTGTAATTATATTATTTTCTATGGTATTGGACAAGTTTTGTAATATGTACATTGTATATCCATATATTCATTGTTTGCAATACCCTGGTATTCAAAATGTCTCATTTTCAAATAAACATAATTCATTATTGTTTACATTTCTAGAATAGGTACACTCTCATTAGTGTATGATGAAAATGTAATTAATTTTATTTGCTTAGGTGTACGAGTTACGATTCCATTCTGTTGGTGATCTTCGAGTTGCAATATGATAACTGGCAAGATATAAACGAATTTGACTTCACTAACATTAGAAGATGGAATTGTATCAACAGTGTTTCCTACAAGCCCAGCCCTCTTATCTTCTCAAAGAACATTTCAAGAAAATCTTATTGCAAAGTGTGCCAGTGAAGTATTTTTTTCCCTTGATGCTGCAAGTGCTGCTAGTCTCGATGATATTGTAGACAAATATATTATTTCAGCAATATGTGTATATATATATATATATATATATATATATATATATATATATATATATATATATATATATATATATATATAAAATAATAATTGCCTTGTTAATAAAAACTTGCCTAACAAGCACTGGAAATATATTAATAAATAATCAGAACAATTTTGAATGTGAACAATTAAAAAACTTTTGTTTTCGAATGTGTAATAAAAGAACTGTATGTAATAAATAATATACTATAAATATCTAACGTTTATTTTAAAAATATTAAGATAGGTATAAATCTGTTTTGGATATTTCACATACTTCAGTGCTACAAAAGGTTAATATATTATAGATGATTTTTAAGTAAATGTAGCCAAATTGAATTGGTAAATAAATTATCTATACAATAAATCCTGTAATAATATTATTGATAATTATAGTAAAAATTTAATGAAATTTTTCTACATATACCATCAAAATTCTGTCATCCGTAACAATTCAAGATTGTTCTGCCCATGTGTAGGTTTCAATGAGAATAGGTTGTGTGTGGAATTTGTGGAAATATTGTCATGTGTAGTAACCAATCAGATAGCTATAAAAAATGAAAAATCTTGTATAAGTGCCTAAACGGAAGAAATCTGAGCCAATTGTTTATTTTAAAGTTAAGATTGCCTAAAACTTGGGAGAAACATGCCAAATTAAAATTGTTATATCTTCCACAAATTTCCATTTCATAAAAGATTTTGTTTGTAAACAATGCAAATTTCCTCTTTAATCCCAGAACACTAAGCATATTGACTGGTATGTTATTACTAACTACAAGACGAAGCAACTTGCCAAATATAAAACTAGTATAATTTATAAATTTGTTTCATTTTCCTTGGTTTTCAATGACATACCCAAAATAGTCACGGTACCAATGATAGAATTGTAATTTTGATACAATATTAACTTTTGACTAAAAAAGTCACCAAAAATTAAGGCTGGTATGATTTCAATCATGAATTAAATCAAATGATAATTTTTTAAAAATCAATGATTTAAGTTATTTTTTCAAAGATTACAAATAATAAATATTAAGTTATAGAGATGAAGACTTAAAACAATTACAGTTTATACAAAGAATATCATATTACTTATAAACTTTTTCACATAATTGAACAATTTCGAGAAAAAGAATACAATGTAATATACATGAAAATGAGCATGCTTATGAAATGAACAATAAACAATTTGTAGTACTTATTTACTAATGGACTTGGATGATATAATAGTTTTTATCCAGTATTTCTTTGTCTGTAGATAATAGCAAATTTAGGAACAATACACACACCGAGCTAGTTTCAAGAAAAACACGTTAAATCTTCAAGCATATTTGTAATTCTAGTTTTGGAGTACAATGTTTGCTAATGCCACATAAAGTATAACATCTTAGAGAAGATGAGCATTAATAAAAATGGAATTTTATTGATACTCAACTACGAATAAAATTAATATTGCTAAAAGTAATAAAAACGGTATTTAATCGTACTAATAATAACTTTTAATAATATTAACCTTTTTCCTTGTGTATATTGATATAATACCATTTAAGTGGGAAGGAACAGGATAACTATTAAATAGAATTTAATATTTCAAAAACTGTAATATTGTTGTACGTTTTTTTTATGAAATCATTTGTTTTCAACAGGAAGAGGTTTTTTGATTCAGGTAATATTACAGAAAAGATGGTAACATTTTTTTGGACGAAGAATATCTTTTTTTTCTGAACCTTGCTAACAGGTGTTGCCACAAGCTTATTCGATGATGTGAACACATGAGAAGTGATGAAACTATAAGAACTCAAATTTAAAGATTTTGTGGATTAGGGCGGTATTGCACCAGACCCCTCAAATGTATAGTATCTATGTGGGAAAAAAACAACTAAAACAAACAATAAGGAAATGATCAATTTAAAACTTCATGTTTTCACTTTTTTCTGCTTTTAAAGTAATAAAGGATAAATAAATCACTTTACAATTTTGGTTTTAATTAAACACATATAATACAATATTTAAAAATATTATTTGAATCAAGTTAATCTGAATCATAAGAAAAGCAGATAATACTCGTGGATATTTCCTACACATCTCAATTAATTCGCACAATCTTACTTTGCAAAATGCGCGCCAAAATGCAACAGCTGCGCCATCTGCTCGTGAGTGAGGAAACAAACTTTGTCCGCCGCCTTTTAACATTGAGTGAACCAGCCCTGCATATACCTGCCATATACACTTTGGTTGTCAGCACTAGCGCTGCGTTTGCTGTTGATATTGCTCGTGCGTTTAGACTGCAATAATATTTAATTAGTAGTTTTTGTTACTATATTCATATATTACTAGAGTTAGTATGGCTTGATCAATATTGATATGTGCAATACTAGTTATTTTATGAAGTGTTGGGAGCGAATGGAATAGAAATCTTGTGCTTAATACGTGAACCCAGTGTAAGTGTGCATTTAATAATTAATAAATGCTTCAAATAAAACCAAAATTGTATTATGAATGTGGACATATGACTGTTCCAAAATATCTCGCAAAATCAGCCTAGTCGTGTTCTGAGGGGAGGGGGGGGGGCAGGGTTGGTTCTGACCTGAAAATGTTGAAAGGAGCCTCATAGTCGTTCATAATGAAACATTTTTATTTCCGTAAATGTATTCAGTACGTGATTTGCCCCTTTTTTTAGTCTGAATTTGGGGAAGAAGGTCAAGAAATCAACTAGCAACCCTGAAAACAGTTCAACTTAAAATCTATTTCATTTACAATTGTAACAAGAGTTACTATTTATTTTCGTGTATATCTTGTTTATATATCAGTAAAACATATCATAAGTAAAAAATAAGAACGTTTAATGGATAAGGGGGCCCAGATATGTAATTGACGCTCTTTTAGGCTGCTCATGCCTTTACAAATCTATTAATGCCAATCCAACTTCTCCGACCCTTTTAACTGCCCTCCTCCCTGCTACTGCTAAAAAATTTTCGACACGATGTTTATTTCCGAATCTTGTTCTAACGAAACCCTGAGAATAGTCAGTAAACTAAAAAAAATAAATGTTCGTCTGGTTTCGATGAATTTCGGAATTGTTTATTGAAAACTTGTGTACATGCCTTCATACACCCGTTAACTCACATTTTCAATACTTCTTAATATACAGGAATATTTCCAGATATTTTCAAAACAGCAAAAATTAAGCCACTTTTTAAAAAGGGAACAAAAATGAAATTCAAAATTACCGGCCAATTTCTCTTTTGTCAGTTTTCTCAAAAATATTAGAGAGGCTTTTCTATAAGCGAATGGAAACTTTTCTCAAGAAAAACGAAGCGTTTTAAGTCTCACAACACAGATTTAGAAAAACAAAATCTCCCGAAACAACAATTTTTTCTTTTCTTAAAGATGTCGCTTCACCAATGGAATAAAATGAAGCATCCCTAGGAATATTTTTAGATCTTTCGAAAGCTTTTGACGTCATTGACCTTAAAATCTTGCTATCAAAATTATCTTCTTATGGAATTCGTGGTATCGTCCCCGCACCTTAAACATCGATCTCAAAGGGT